CGGGGCAGCGGTGCTGGAGCTGGGTGAGTTCATTGGGGGGGGGGGGGGGGTAAAGGGGCGGGGCTACCGGTCACCTGACCTGATGCTCTGCCCCCTTTTGTTTCCTTATAGATGAGGCACTGGGGGCGGAGCTTCGTCGCCAGGGGGCGGAGCGTCGCCGAGGGGCGGAGCTTCGGGCCCTGGGGGCGGAGGCGGCGCAGGAGGGGCGGAGGCTGCGGAGGGAGGGGTCCCAGATAAGCTCCGCCCACCGGTGAGCGAGGAGGGGGCGGGGCTTGCCCATGGGTATCCCAATGGGGGCAGGGGCAGCATTCCCATGATGCTCTGCGCTTGCAGGGAGCCGGGGCCAAAGGTGGGACTGACGTCGAAAGTGGCTGTAAGAAGGGGCGGGGCTTATTGGGAAGGAGGAGGGGCTTATGGAAGGGGAGTGGTCTGAGCGTGGCCACACCCCCATTGCCCCACCCGCCCCCCCCAGGCCGTGTGCAAGCTGCGGGAGGAGGCACTGGAGGAGCTGCTGGGGCTCCGCCCCTTGTCGAGGTAAGCCCCGCCCCCTTCAGGGCAAGCCCCGCCCACTGCTGCCGTAAACCCCTCCCTGTCCATCACCCCCCAACCCCCCTGCCCTTCCCTTTCCCCCCCAGGCCGCAGGACCTCACCTTGCTCTGGCTGCAGGAGGCCAAGGTGGGTGCCCATGGGGGGAGGGTGGGGGGGGGAGGTGGCTGATCCTAACTGGTCATGTGACCCCCCCCCCATGTGACCTGACAACTCCGTCACCCCCCCCCCCAGGCACTGCTGAACCAACACAGCCCAGAGGAGGTGCTGGAGGCCCTGCAGACACTGGGGTGAGGGGAGGGGCTTAGGAGGGGTGGGGCTTTGGGAGGGGGTGGAGCTTAGGGAAGGGGCAGGGCCAGTGGGCTGCTGGGGGTGCGGCTTAAAGGGGGGTGGCCCCAGGGCACTAGGGAAGGGGTGGGGCTACCGGTGGGTGGAGCCAACAGAGGGGCGGGGGTTGCATCCTCCCCCCTTCCCCGTTGTTCCATTGCAGGAAGGGGTACCCCAAAATCAGCCCTGACCTTGACCCCAACCCTGACCCTGGTGCTCAGCCCCATATGAAGGCCCTCATCCAGGTAAATGGGGGGACTTGAGGGGCACATTTGGGGGTGCTTTAGGGCTCAGAGCTCCCCATTGATGTGGGGTCCCCCCTTTGCACCCCCCAGGACTGCTGGGTGGATGTGGGGGGACTCTGGGACCTCATCCACTCCTCGGCCTCCCGCCTGTCCCCCCTGAGGCTCCGGCTCCTCCAGCTGCAGGAGGAGATCCAGCAGCGCCTGGAGGGGCACCCCAAAGCCCAGCAGGCTGCCAGGTAAAACCCTGCACCCCAAAACACCTCCCTGAACCCCAAAACCACACGGTGCACCCCAAACACCCCCTGCACCCCAAAACCTTCCCCCCTGCACCCTAAAACCACCCTCATGCACCCCAGAACCCCCATGGCACCCCAAAACAACGCCCCTGCACCCTAAATCTATCCCTCCTGCATCCCAAAACAACTGCCTCTGCACCCCAAAACCTCCCTATGGAGTCCCCCATGCACCCAAAACCCTCTCAAGGACCCCCTGAATGCATCCTGCAGTCGGTTTCCCCCCCCTGCACCCCAAACCTGCCTTTTCCTCCCCACTCCTGAACCTCAGAACCCTTTAGGGACCCCCTCTATACTTTAAACCCCCCTGGGTTTCCTTCTGAAGTGGGTGCTGGGCTCATAGGGGTCCTTAAAGCCCCCCCCAGATTCTCCCTAAACCCAGTGCTGGGACCTTTTGGGGTGCCCCCAACCCCTCCATGGTCCCTGCAGTCCTTTTAGGGTGTCCCCCCTCCAAAAAACGGTTCTTGAACCCCTTTGGGCCCCCCAAACCCCCCTCAACATTTGGCTTTGGGCCCCCCCTTGCCACCAGGTTGATGCTGGAGGCCGCGGGGCTCTCAAGGGCTCAGGAGGCCCTGATCCAGCAGGTCCAGGAGCTACGGGGCAGCCCCATGGACTCCCCAGAAGCTGCCCTGGGGCCACTGAGGAGGCAGCTGCAGGAGGGGAAGCAGCGGCTGGTGGGTGCCAACGGGGGAATGTGGGGATTTGGGGGGGTCCTGATGGGCTTGTGGGGGTCTGGGAAGTGGAATTTGATGGTTATGGGGAGGGATTGGGGTCCCTAAAGGGTCCCAGTGCCGCTTTTTGGGAGGGATGAGGGATATCTGGGGGTCCTGGAGGGGGATTTTGGGTCTATAGGGGATGACATGGGGGAGTTTGGGGCTTTAGGGGGGATTTTGGGGGTTCAGCAGTGCTGGGAGGGGGATCTGGGGCTTCTGGATTGGTTTGGGGTGAAGGGAGAGGTTTGGGGGAGAAATCTGGGGCGATATTTAAGGTGTTTGGGGGTCTTGGGGGGTATTTGGGTCCCTCCCATGGCTTTGGGGTCCCTCATTTCCTTGTGTCCCCCCCTCCATCCCTTCCAGTCCCGTCGCTGGATCCAGCTCCGGGCTCTGGGCGCACCCAATGGGAAGCTCCAGGCGCAGCTGCGCCCCCTGCAGGCCCAGGTGAGCAAAGAGGGGGAGGGAAATGGGGCGGGGCTTAATGGTGAGTGGGCGGGGCCTCAGAGCTTTGGCCACGCCCCTTTCAGGCCCGAGGAGCTGTGCGGCTCCCCCCAGGGCTGCAGGGGGAAGGGCAGCGGCTGCAGGAAGCGCTGAGCATGCTGGGAAAGGAGAGAGTGCCCCTCCCCCCGAGGTGAGTGAATTGGGGGGGGGGAGGGGGGGGGGAAGGGCTGTGCTGACCCCTCCCTTCTCCCTTTAGCCCCGCCCAGAGCCCACTGCAGCCAATCAGACGTGCCCTCGGAATGGCAGAGAGTGAGGTGGGGGAAGGGCCATAAAGAGGGAGGGGAATGGGGGGAGGGGTCATAAAGGGGGGAGGAGCAATGGGAGGAGGGGACATAAAGGGGGAGGGGCAATGGGAGGAGACATAAAGGGGGAGGAGCAATGGGAGGAGGGGCCATAAAGGGAGGAGGGGCAATGGGAGGAGGGGCCATAAAGGGGGAGGGGCAATGGGAGGAGGGGCCATAAAGGGGGCAGGGGTCATAAATGGGGGAGGGCCATAAAGGGGGAGGGGCAGGAGGAGGGGTCATAAAGGGGGAGGGGCAATGGGAGTAGGGGCCATAAAGGGAGGAGGGGCCATAAAGGGGGAGGGGAATTGGAAGGAGGGGCCACAGAGGGAGCAGGGGTCATAAAGGGGGAGAAGGCCATAAAGGGGGAGGGGCAATGGGAGGAGGGGCCATAAAGGGGGGAGGGGCAATGGGAGGAGGGGACATAAAGGGGGGAGGGGCAATGGGAGGAGGGGCCATACAGGGGGGAGGGGCAATGGGAGGAGGGGACATAAAGGGGGGAGGGGCAATGGGAGGAGGGGCCATACAGGGGGGAGGGGCAATGGGAGGAGGGGACATAAAAGGAGGAGGGGCAATGGGAGAAGGGGACATAAAAGGGGGAGGGGCAATGGGAGGAGGAGAATTGGAAGGAGGGGCCACAGAGGGGGCAGGGGTTATAAAGGGGGAGAAGGCCATAAAGAGGGAGGGGCAATGGGAGGAGGAGCCATAAAGGGGGAGGGGCAATGGGAGGAGGGGCCATAAAGGGGGGAGGGGCAATGGGAGGAGGGGTCATAAAGGGGGAGGGGCAATGGGAGGAGGGGCCATAAAGGGGGGAGGGGCAATGGGAGGAGGGGCCATAAAGGGGGAGGGGAATTGGAAGGAGGGGCCACAGAGGGGGCAGGGGTCATAAAGGGGGAGAAGGCCATAAAGAGGGAGGGGCAATGGGAGGAGGGGCCATAAAGGGGGATGGGCAATGGGAGGAGGGGCCATAAAGGGGGGAGGGGCAATGGGAGGAGGGGCCATAAAGGGGGGAGGGGCAATGGGGCCGTTGCTCAGGGGTGTTTGTGCCTCAGCCCCCACAGGGGGCGCTGTTGCGGGCGGCAGAGCTGCGGGGGGAGCTGGAACAGCTGCAGGGGGCGTGGTCAGAGCAAAGGGCGTGGTCAGAGCAAGGGGCGGGACCCTTGAAGCCCCACCCACCCCGCGGTGAGTGAGGGGGGGAGATGGGGGGGTGAGGGTGTGGCCTGTGCTGACCCCGCCCCTTTTTAGCACCCGCGGAGGGCGTGGCCATCGCCAAGCTCCTCCCCCAGCTGCAGGCGCTGTCCATTAGGGTCCAGCAGTGCCTCGAGGGCTGGCCCCACCTCCAGGATGTCATCAGCCAATGGTGAGGCGGCGAGGGTGGGTCCGTGAGAGGCCACGCCCACCATGTGTGATGTCACATCCCCCCTTCCCCCCTCCTTCGTCTCCCATAGGTGGGAGCAGCCGGCTCAGTGGATACCGGCCACGCCCCCCGGCAACATCCCCTTCTCCCATTGGCTGAAGCGCTGGTCCCAGGCCACCCATGCCCTAAACTTGCACCGCCCCCTCGCCTTAGCCCCGCCCACCAGCGACGAGGAAGGGCATGACCAAAGCAAGCCCCACCCCTGAGCCTCAGTTTCATCAGATGGGGTGCAGGAGGCAGGGCTTGGAGGAGGGTTGGGCCTCAAGACTGAGTTCCTGGAAGCGGAATAGAGTAGGTCCTATAGAAATAAAGCAGTAAATAAAGCAGGTTCTGTGTTAATTACATGTAAATGAGGTTGTGCCCATGTTAATGAGATGCAAAGCAGGTCTTGTGTTAATAAACTCCTCCCGCCTGCAGTAACAGCATGTCAACAGAGCAGAGCCTCCAATAACAATGCACAGATAACGTGTGGCCTGCAGTAACACATAAATAAAGCAGGTCCTACAGTAACGAAAGTGTAAACAAAGCAGGTCCTGACATAATAAACTCCCTAATAAAGCAGGACCTACAATAACAGCCTGGGAATAAAGTAGGACCTACAGGAATATGTAAATTAGACAGGCTCTATGTTAATGACAGGTACATAAAAGTAGGTCCTACATTAACTTGTAAATAAGTTACTCAATAAAGCGGGTCCTGACATAACAACCACCCCCAATACAGTAGGTCCTACAGGAATGAAACTGTAAATACAGGTGGTCCTCCCATAACAACATGTAAATAAAGTAGGCCCTACATTAATAACTCTCTCAACAAATTGGGTCCTACAATAATACCTCCCCGATAAAGTAGGACCTACAATAAGGGCCCATAAATGAAGTAGGTCCTGCCCCAATACCCTGTCAATAGAGCAGATCCGACAGCAACCGTACATAAAATAGGTCCTACGTTAATAAATGAGTAAATACAGGAGGTCCTGGCACAGCACCATGTAAATACAGGAGGTCCTACAGTAAGAACGTGCAAATACGAGTGGCTCTATGTTAATGAGATGTAAATAAAGCAGGTCCTCCACTAAAAGGACACTAAGTAGGCCCTACATTAATAACATGTAAATAAGGAAGGGTCTGTGTTAGTAACATGTAAATAAGGTCAGCCCTACGTGAGCTGCGTGTGAATAAAGCAGGTCCTACGCTAATTGCATGTAAATAAGGGGGGGTGTAACGATGGTGGGATGAGAAATGGGGAGGGATGGAGGGAGAGGGGGAGAAATGGCAGGAATGTGGGGAATGGGGGTGGGAAAAAGGGGAGGGGGAATGGGGGGCATAAGGGGGGCAGGGGAGAAGATGGGGATGCGGTGGGGGAGGGGAAGAGGGGACAAATGGGGGGGCAGGGGCAAGGAAAAGCCCCATATTCAGCCCCATGGGGGTGCAGCCGGGATGGGGTTAAACGGGGACACGAGTTGGGGAGCTCAGAGCTGATTGGCTGTTGCCATCCCGGGTATAAAGAGGGGGGGAGGTGTGTTCCCCCCCCCCGACACCCCCGAGTGGGGGATGGGAGGTTGTGTCCATTGGGGACCCTCCCCCCCCCCCCCCCCGTTTTGGGGTGCTGGGGGGGAGGTGAGGCCCATCCCCCCCTTCCCCACAGACAGTTCATCAACAGGCACTTAATGACCCCCCCCCCCCCCACCCCGCCCCCGTTTTTGGTTACATGAAGCCGAACGGTCCCTGGGTGCAGATTTTTGAGGGGATCCCGCCCGTTCGGAGCGTCCGGAACGGTCCCTGGGGCAGATCCCGCCCGTTCGGAGCGTCCGGAACGGTCCCTGGGGCAGATCCCGCCCGTTCCCCTGGAAAACCCGCCTCTTCTGGGGCGTTCCCGCCCGTTTTGGGAGCTCCCCCCCCCCGTTTTGAGGGGATTCCCACCCGTTTTAAGGGATTCCCCCCCTCCTCCCCCCGTTTGGGGGGCGTTCCTGCCCCTTCCGAGGCGTTCCAACCCATTCCTTAGGAGATTCCTGCCCATTTCGGGGGTGCCCCACCCGTGCCGGGGGGATTCCCGCGCTTTTGGACTTGTTCCCGCCCGTTTTGGGTTGTTCCCGCTTATTTCTGGGGAGGTCCCGCCCGTTTTTGGGTGGTTATCACCCGTTTTGGGGGGAGTTTTGGACTCCCCTCCCCCAAAACTCCCACCTAAGAGGGGGGGGAATATGTAAAACAACAAAAAAGAAGGGAAACCCCCTAAAACCCCTATGGGGGGGCCCCATTCCCTGCATATAACCCTGCTGGACGCCCCCCCCCCATTCCCCCCCCCCAACTTCCAACCCCCCCAAACGGTGGGGGGGGGGGCCCCCCCAAACTTGGGGGGGGGGGGGGGGAATGGAAATCGGGTGCGGAGCCCCAAGTTAAGGCAATGGGGACCCCTCCCCTTCCCCAAATTCACCCCCGCCCCCCCCATTATGAGTCCAGGGAGAGCTGGGCCGTGGCGCGCTGCAGGTCGGTGCTCACCCTCCTGCCCCCCCCCCCCAGATTTGGGGGCCCCCCTTTCCCTTTCTTATCCTCATTGGAATGGGGGGGGAAGGTCCCCACTTCCTCCCTTTCCCCTTCCGTCCCCCCCCTCCTCCGCTCCTCGCTCCAGCGCCGCTTAAAGCGCAGCTTAAGGGGGACACAAGGCTGGGGGGGGAGAGGGGGAGAAGGGGGCACGGCCCGGCCCCCCCCCACCGTTTCCTCTTCCTCATCTTCCTCCTCCTCCCCATTGCGGGGCCGGGGGGGTTTGAAGACTTCATCCTCCTCCTCCTCCTCCTCCTCGCTCACATCCGTCACTTCCACCGTCTCCTCCTCCGACACCGCCTCCACTTTGATATGGGGGGGCTCCTGCGTCGTCGCTGTCGTCGTCGTCCCCCCCCCCCCACCACCACCCCCCCCGGGTGATGATGATGATGATGGTGATGATGATGATGGAGGGGGCGCCGCATCCCGCCCTTTCTCCCTCTGCCTCCTTCCCGGCGGCGGGGGCTGGAGTTTGAAGGGGAAAAGGGGTTCGGAAGCGGGGGGATGCTGTTGATGATGTGGGGGTGCGTGGTGCGGAGGAGGGGGGGGCGGTGCGGGGGGCGGGGGGGGCAGCAGCAGCCCCGGGCAGGGGAGGAAGGCTCGGGGGCTCAGGTGGTAGCTGTAAACGCTGCGGGTCTGCGCCGCTAGCGCCCTCTGCAGGTCCTCGGGGCTGAAGGAAAAGTGGGACCCCCCCGCGGGGAAAAGGGGGCTCAGGGTGGGGGAAGGGGCGAAACCAACGTGGGGGGGGGTCAAAGGAAGCGCCGGGGATAAGGGGGGAGGGGGGAGGAGACCCCCGGTGCCTCCCCCACCTCCTCCCCCTCCCCCCGCGGCCGGTAACGGGGATCCCGCGAAAGGAGGGGGGGGGGGCGGGGGGGGGGGGGGGGTGTAAAGGCGGAAAAGGGCGTCTGGGGTCAAGCGCGGGGGGGGGTGGGGATGGGGGGGGAGGGGTCGGAAGCTGCCCCCGCCCCCCCCCGAAAGAGGGGGGAGGGGGGGAGGGGGTAAGGGGGGGAGGGGGTCCCCGGCACCCCCCCCTTCCTCGAGCTCGGAGCCGTCGCTGAGGGAGCCGAGGCGGCGCGAGAAGGAGGAGGAGGAGGAGGAGGAAGAGGAAGAGGAAGAGGAAGGGGGGGGGGCGAGGGCGGCTTCCACAGTGGGGGGGGGAGGGGAGGGGAGAGCCCCTCAGATGCGGTGGGGGAGGGGCCGGCAAGGGAAGGGGGAGGGGGGGAAGCAGAAATGGGGGGTGCCCCCCCCCACTCCGCCGCCCCCCCCCCCTCCGAGCGAGGGCAGCGGGGGGGCGCTCTGCGGCAGCGGCGGGCCTGTAGGGGGCGGTAAAGCGCGGTTAGGAGGAAAAGGGGCGTGGCTATTGGGGGGCCACGCCCCGTTTTCCCGCGGCAGAGGCCACGCCCCGTTTTCCCGCGCTCCCGGCGGTACCTGCGAGCCCCACGTCGATGAAGGGGTAATTGACCAGCACCAGCTTGTTGAAGTTGAACTTGTAGGTGAAGCGTTTGCCTTTGGTCTTGTGTAGGATGCGCTTGTTGTAGTAGTACCTATGGGGCAGGGTGTGGGGCAGGGTGTGGGGCTGGGAACCATCGGTGGGCCCCATCGCGGCCCGGTGCCCCCAGAGCCGCCCGCAGCATCGCCTTCATCTTGTGCAGGGGCTGCTTGTTGGAGTAGTAGCTTGGGGGGGGGGGGAAGATGTGGGGTGGGGATGTGGGGCTGAGACCCCCCCCATGTCTGTTGTATATGGGAATAGATATAGGTCTGGAGCAGCCAGGTTGTTCCTATGGGGATGGGACTGCTGGGTCCTTTGGATGGGGAGATGTGGGGCTGGGAGCTGCATATCCTTTCTATGGGGAGATATGGGGCTGGGAGTTGTATATCTTTTCTACAGGGAGATATGGGGCCCAAACACCTGGGTGTTTTCTATGGGGAGATGTGGGCCTGGGAGCTCCACATCCTTTCTATGGGGAGATGTGGGGCTGGGAGCTTCATATCCTTTCTACGGGGAGATGTGGGGCTGGGAGCTGTATATCCTTTCTACAGGGAGATATGAGGCCCAAACACCTGGGTGCTTTCTATGGGGAGATGTGGGGCTGGGAGCTGTATATCCCTTCTACAGGGAGATATGGGGCCCAAACACCTGGGTGCTTTCTATGGGGAGATGTGGGGCTGGGAACTCCATATATGGGGCCCAAACACCTGGGTGCTTTCTATGGGGAGATGTGGGGCTGGGAACTCCATATCCTTTCTATGGGGAGATGAGGGGCTGGGAGCTCCATATCCTTTCTACGGGGAGATATGGGGCCCAAACACCTGGGTTCTTTCTATGGGGAGATGTGGGTCTAGCAGCCCCAGATCGCTTCTATATCGAGTCCTTTCTATAGGGAGATGTGGGGCCCAGGCCCCTGTGCTGGCTCTATGGGAACACGTGGGTCTGGGACCCCCAGATCCTTTCTATGGGGAGATGTGGAGCAGAACACCCAGAAGCCACCTCACCATTCACTTGGTGGTACCAGCACGGCCTGGCCACCACCTCCCCTGCCCACGTGGAGATGTGGGGCTGGAACCACCACCATCCCCTACCCCACAAGCACCCCAAATACGCACCCCATAAGTGACCCATAAGCACCCTGCAAGCACCCCACATGTGCCCCGTAAGCACCCCATAAAGCACCTCATAAGCACCCAACAAGTGACCCATAAGAGCCCCATATGCGCCCTGTAAGCACCTACCAAGTGCCCTATAAGCACCCCATATGTGCCCCATAAGTGACTAATAAGCATCCCGTGACCCATAAGTGCCCCATAGGCACCCCATATGCACCCCTTAACCAACCCATAAGCAGCCCATAAGCCCCCCAGATATGCCCCATAAGCGCACCATATGCAAACCGTAAGTGCCCCATAAGCACCCCATATGTGAATCATAACCACACCACAAGAGCCCCGTATGTGCCCTATAAGGGCCCAATAAGCACCCCATACACACCCCATAAGCACCCCATACACGCCGCACAAGCGCCCCATACACACCCCATACACACCCTGTAAGTGCCCCACAGGCGCCCCATAAGCACCTCATACACACCCCATAAGCACCCCATACACACCCCATAAGTGCCCCACAAGCGCCCCATAAACATCACATACACACCCCGTAAGCACCCCACAAGCACCCCTTACACACCCCATAAGCACCCCACAAGCACCCCATACACACCTCATAAGCATCGCACAAGCGCCCCATAAGCACCCCATACACACCCCCTAAGCACCCCACAAGCGCCCCATAAGCACCCCACACCCCGTAAGCGCCCCACAAGCTCCCCATAAGTGCCCACCTGAGCGCGCGGCTGAGCTTGTCGTAGTTCATGTGGGGCTTGCACTTGCGCACCCCCCAGAGCCGGGCCACCTCATCGGGGTCCTTGATGACGAACTCGCCGCAGTCCCCCTGCCAGGCGATGAGCTCCCGGTACCGCTCCTGCCGGAGCAGCTCCAGGATGAAGTGCCACAGCTGGATCTGCCGGGAGCCGGGGCTCGACTCCGCCTTGTACGCCCAGTCCGGGAAGGCGAAGCCTAAACGGGGACACAAGGATGGAGAGGGTTGTATTGAGGTGTATTGGGGTGTATTGGGGGTGTATTGAGGTGTATTGGGTGTGTATTGGGGTGTATTGGGGGTGTATTGAGGTGTATTGGGTGTGTATTGGGGTGTACTGGGGGTGTATTGAGGTGTATTGGGGGTGTATTGGGGTGTATTGGGGTGTATTGAGGTGTATTGGGGGTGTATTGAGGGTGTATTGGGGTGTATTGGGGTGTATTGGGGGTGCATTGGGGGTGATTGGGGTGTATTGGGGGTGATTGAGGTGTACTGGGGTGTATTGGGGTGTATTGGGGGTGTATTGAGGTGTATTGGGGTGTATTGAGGTGTATTGGGGTGTATTGGGGGTGTAATGGGGTGTATTGGGGGTGTAATGGGGTGTATTGAGGGTGTATTGGGGTGTATTGAGGTGTATTGGGGGTGTACTGGGGTGTATTGAGGGCGTATTGGGGGTGTATTGAGGTGTATTGGGGGTGTATTGAGGTGTATTGGGGGTGTATTGGGGGTGTACTGGGGTGTATTGAGGTGTATGGGGGTGTATTGGGGGTGTATTGAGGGTGTATTGGGGTGTATTGGGGGTGTATGGGGGTGTATTGGGGTGTATTGGGGTGTATTGGGGGTGTATTGGGGTGTATTGGGGGTGTATTGGGGTGTATTGAGGTGTACTGGGGTGTATTGGGGGTGTATTGAGGGTGTATTGGGGTGTATTGAAGGTGTAATGGGGTGTATTGGGGGTGTATTGAGGTGTATTGGGGTGTATTGGGGTGTATTGGGGGTGTATTGGGGTGTATGGGGTGTAGGGGGTGTATTGGGGTGTATTGAGGTGTATTGTGTCTTGAGGGGGTGAGTGAGGGGGAAGGGTGGGGTGTATTGGGGGTGTATTGAGGTGTATTGGGGGTGTATTGGGGTGTAGTGGGGGGTATTGAGGTGTATTGGGGGTGTATTGAGGTGTATTGGGGGTGTATGGGGGTGTAATGGGGTGTATTGGGGGTGTATTGGGGTGTATTGAGGTGTATTGTGCGAGACTTGCACGAGGATTGGGGTGTATTGCCGGTGTATTGAGGTGTATTGGGGTGTATTGGGGGTGTATTGAGGTGTATTGGGGGTGTACTGGGGGTGTATTGGGGGTGTATTGAGGTGTATTGGGGTGTATTGGGGGTGTATTGGGGTGTATTGGGGTGTATTGAGGGTGTAATGTATTGGGGGTGTATTGAGGTGTATTGGGGGTGTATTGGGGTGTATTGGGGTGTATTGAGGTGTATTGGGGGTGTATTGAGGTGTATTGGGGGTGTATTGGGGGTGTAATGGGGGTGTATTGAGGGTGTATTGGGGTGTATTGGGGTGTATGGGGGTGTATTGGGGTGTATTGGGGTGTATTGGGGGTGTATTGAGGTGTATTGGGGATGTATTGGGGTCTATTGGGGGTGTATTGAGGTGTATTGGGGGTGTATTGAGGTGTATTGGGGGTGTATGGGGGTGTAATGGGGTGTATTGGGGTGTACTGGGGGTAATTGAGGTGTGTGTATGGGGGTGTAGGGTGTATTGGGGTGTATTGAGGTGTATTGGGGTGTATTGGGGGTGTATTGAGGTGTATTGGGGGTGTATTGGGGGTGTATTGGGGGTGTATTGGGGTGTATTGGGGGTGTATTGGGGTGTATTGAGGGTGTATTGAGGTGTATTGGGGTGTATTGGAGGTGTATTGAGGTGTATTGGGGGTGTATGGGGGTGTACTGGGGTGTATTGGGGGTGTATTGGGGTGTATTGGGGTGTATTGGGGTGTATTGGGGGTGTATTGAGGTGTATTGGGGGTGTATGGGGTGTACTGGGGTGTATTGGGGTGTATTGGGGGTGTATTGGGGTGTATTGAGGGTGTATTGGGGTGTATTGGGGTGTATTGAGGTGTATTGGGGTGTATTGGGGGTGTATTGAGGTGTATTGGGGGTGTATGGGGGTGTAATGGGGGTGTATTGAGGGTGTATTGAGGTGTATTGGGGGTGTATGGGGGTGTACTGGGGTGTATTGGGGTGTATTGGGGGTGTATTGAGGTGTATTGGGGGTGTATGGGGGTGTATTGGAGTGTAAACAGGTGTAAAGGGGTGTATACGGATGTAGGGATGTATAGGGATGTATAAGGGTGTAAGGATGTATAGGGGTGTATGGGTGAATGCGTATAGGGGTGCGTAAGTGTATGGGTGTACGGGTGTGTGGCTGAATGGCTGTATGGGTATATGCATGTACAGGTATATGGGTGTACAGATGTATGGGTGCATGGGTGTCTGGGTAAATAGGTGTATGGGTGTAGAGGTATATGGGTGCATGGGTGCATGGGTGTCTGGGTAAATAGGTGTATGGGTGTAGAGGTATATGGGTGTATGGTTGTATGGCTGTAGGGGTAAATAGGTGTATGGGTGTAGAGGTATATGGGTGCATGGGTGCATGGGTGTCTGGGTAAATAGGTGTATGGGTGTAGAGGTATATGGGTGTATGGTTGTATGGCTGTATGGGTAAATAGGTGTATGGGTGTAGAGGTACATGGGTGTATGGTTGTATGGCTGTATGGGTAAATAGGTGTATGGGTGTAGAGGTATATGGGTGTACGGCTGTATGGGTAAATAGGTGTATGGGTGTAGAGGTACATGGGTGCATGGTTGTATGGCTGTAGGGGTAAGTAGGTGTATGGGTGTAGAGGTATTTGGGTGTATGGTTGTATGGCTGTAGGGGTAAATAGGTGTATGGGTGTAGAGGTATATGGTTGTATGGCTGTAGGGGTAAATAGGTGTATGGGTGTAGAGGTATATGGGTGTATGGTTGTATGGCTGTAGGGGTAAATAGGTGTATGGGTGTAGAGGTATATGGGTGTATGGTTGTATGGCTGTAGGGGTAAATAGGTGCATGGGTGTAGAGGTATATGGGTGTATGGTTGTATGGCTGTAGGGGTAAATAGGTGCATGGGTGTAGAGGTATATGGGTGTATGGTTGTATGGCTGTAGGGGTAAATAGGTGTATGGGTGTAGAGGTATGTGGGTGCATGGTTGTATGGCTGTAGGGGTAAATAGGTATATGGGTGTATGGGTGTAGAGGTATATGGGTGTATGGTTGTATGGCTGTAGGGGTAAATAGGTGTATGGGTGTAGAGGTACATGGGTGTATGGTTGTATGGCTGTAGGGGTGTATGTGTGGATAGACATAAGTGCCAGAGCCGGATCTGCCGAGAGCCGGGGCTCAACTACACCTTGTACAACCGGTCCGGGAATGCAAACCCTGCCACAGGGATACAGGCATACAGGGATCCAATCTGGGTATATGGGTACATGGATATATGGATGTATGGGTATATAGGTATATGGATGTATGGGTGTATGGGTTTACGGTTGTATGGGTATATGGGTGTATGTGTACATGGATGTACAAGTGTACGGCTGTATGGGTGCATGGGTGTATGGGTATATAGGTGTATGGGTGCATATGGGTATATGGGTGCATGGGTGTATGGGTGTATAGGTGTATGGGTGAGTAAGTGTATGGCTATATGGCTGTATAGGTGTATGGGTATACGGATGTATGGGTGTATGGCTGTATGTACGTGTGTATGGGTGCATGGGTGTATGGGTATATGGGTGTATGGGTGTACATGTATATAGGTGCATGGGTATATGGGTGGGTGTATAGGTATAGAGGTGCATGGGTAGGTATATGGGTGCATGGGTGCAATGTATATGGGCATATGGGTATATGGGTGGGTGTATAGGTGTATGGGTAGGTATATGGGTGCATGCATACATGGGCGCATGGGTGCAATGTATATGGGCATATGGGTATATGGGTGGGTGTATAGGTATATAGGTGTTTGGGTAGGTATATGGGTGCATGGGTGCAATGTATATGGGCATATGGGTATATGGGTGTACGGCTGTACGTGTGTATGGTTGCATGGGTGTACAGGTGTATGCCTGTATGGGTGTATGTACATATGGATGTACGGGTGTATGGATATATGGGTGCATGGGTGTATGAGCATGAGTATAAAGGTGCATGAGT